AGCCCCGATCCACACTCATCCTCACAAATCAGGCCCTCGGCCTCACTCAGGTATGCTGCAGGCGGGCAGCCCTGATCCACACTCATCCTCACAAGTCAGGCCCTCGACCTCACTCAGTCATAAGTATCTCAAGCCACTCGGGCATTTCAGTAAAAATAGGGCATTCGGCCCAAAATATTTATATGCATCAAAATAGAGTCATAAACTGAGTTATGCGGTAAACAAGCATAAACATGACTGAGTATAGATTTTCAATCGAAAATAATGAGAGGATGGTAAGAAACAGCCCCTAAGGGTTCAAACAGCATTGGCGCAAGGCCCAAACATGACATTCAGCCCAATTTACATAAATCTTTCTAAATCATATAGGTATCAATGGTTTCAACAAAGTATGAAACTTTACAGTTGCTACGGGGCGGACCAAGTCACAAATCCCCAACAGTGCACGCCCACACGCCCGTCACCTAGCATGTGCGTCACTAAAAATAGTAGAATGATACAAAATCCGGGGTTTCATACCCTCAGGACTAGATTTACAATCGTTACTTACCTCAATCCGAGCAATTCTTTATTCCAATAAGCCTTTTCCTCGCGATTCGGCCTCCAAACGCCTCGAATCTTAGTCAAAATAATTCGATACAATCAACACGAGGTGTAGGAATCAATTCCATATGAAAATGCCAAATTTCACAAATAAATCCGAAATTAACTCAAAAATCAACAGTGGGGCCCACGTCTCGGAACCCAACAAAAGTTACAAAATATTAACGCCCATTCAACCACGAGTCCAACCATACAAAATTTTCTAAATTCCGACTCCGATTCGGCCTTCAAACCCTCAAATCAATTTTTGAAACATTTCTATTCTAATCCCCCAAATCATGAAATAAGTGCTAGAAATAATGTTAGATTCATGAATAACGGACCAAATCAAGTTAAGATCACTTACCCCAGTCCAATTTGTGAAGTTTGCCTATGAAAATCGCCCAAACCGAGCTCCCAAACTATTTTTATGTCAAAAATGGCCAAAAGACCCGTTTATAGAGCCTCTGATGTTTTTGAGCGTCACAGGTAGCGTGGGGCGCTGCCTGTGGCGCACTTTCCAGTACCCTTAAATATCCCAGCGCCAGGGCTAGCGCCCCACGCTACCTTGGGCGCTCGCGGCGATGGAAAATCTTTTCCGATACGAAAATGGGCATAACTCTCTCATACAATGTCCGAATTCGACGATTCTTTTTGGTATGGCTCAGAAATTTCAATACGGATCTAATTCTTCAATCAAATATTAATTTGGAACTCATTTGCTTAATGTGATACCACTTATTCTCGAAGAAA